GATACCTGCAATGGCATAGTCTGATGCTTCAGTCTCAACCATGACAGGGGCATCAGGCACCCAGTGAGTAAGGATTGGAGTGGAGGTGAAGGCAGTCTTAAGGTGGAGGAAAGCAGAGTGGCACTCTTTGGAGAAGCTCCAAGGAGTGCCCTTCTGAGTGAGGCAGGTGAGCAGAACAACTATGTCAGAGTAGTTACTAATGAACTGACAATAGAAGTTCATGAACCCAAGAAAGGACTGGATGTCTTTAACCTTGTGCAGTTCAGGCCAATCATGAATGGACTGGACCTTATCAGTGGATATGGTCAGACCAGATGGGGAAAGGACATAGCTGAGGTACTTGACAGAGTCTTGGTGGAACTTGCACTTTTCCAGCTTAGCAAAGAGGCTATGCTGGCAGAGGCAGTGGAGGACCTCTTTTACATGTTGGTGGTGCAACTCCTTGTTGTGGGAGTAGATGAGGATGTCATCAAGGTAAACAACAACACAGACATCAAGCATGTTGGCAAAGATGCTGTTAACAAACTGCTGGAAAGCTACTGGCACATTAGTAAGACTGAAGGGCATAACCAACCATTCATAGGAACCATAGTGAGTGCAAAAGGCAGTTTTCCATTCATCATCAGCACCAATTTGGACCAAGTGGTGGGCATGGCAGAGGTTGATTTTACTATAGATTTTAGTGTGGCTTGGAGAATCAAGCAAGTCAGAGATGAGAGGAAGTGGGTAGTAGTCTTTCTTGGTGATTTTGTTGAGTCCTTGGTAATCCACACAGAGGTAGAGTGAGCCATCCTTCTTCTTAATGAAGAGGACAGGAGCACCATGGGTGGAGGTTGACTGTTTAATGAAACTGTAGCTGAGGTGCTCATCTATGAAGGTGTGGAGCACCTCGAGCTCAGGCAGAGAGAGGGAGTAGACAGTGCCTAGAGGTGGAGAAGCCTCTTCTTTGAGATCTATATTTAAATTGAAGCTGTGGTGTGGAGGGAGTTCAGTAGCCTTTGCTTTACTAAAAACATCAGCAAACTCATGGTAGTTAGAGGGTACTGCAGAGAGATCAGGAGGTGCAGAGGGCATCAAAGAGGCTCAGAGTTTCATATCTTCAGGGTGGAGGTGCAAGTGGAACTGTGTGGAGCCAGGAAGGGCACAGGCACAGACAAAGGCTGCAGCTCCAATGAGGGAGATATGCAGAGCAGTGTATGGCAAGTCAGCCATCAGAGTAGGCAGTGGAGCTGATGTCAGAGGAGTGGATGGAGCAGAGGGTGTCAGTACTGAAGTGGAAGTCATGAAAGGAGGTGACAGAGGCACCAAGGGCATCAGCAATCTTTGTATTGAGGGTCAGAATGAGATACTGCTCAGTCAATTGACAGATTGTAGCAGGTGAGCCAGTTGTGTCCCAAGACCAATGAAGAGGCAGAATCTGTTACATATGGGTTCACCCTCAGGTGACAAGGCTTCAAGACTGGGTGACAGGGGCTAAGTCCAGCTGACCAAAGTCAAGGCCAGGAGACAGGGGCCAAGTCTGGTTGGACTGGAGTTAAGTCCAGAGGACCAGACTTAAGGCCAGGAGCATGGGAACAAGGCTGGTAGCATGGGAAACTGACCAGTCTTGGAGTGCACACAGGGGGAAGCTGGTCTGGGGTTGGATCTACCTCCCTTGGTCTCAGCTTATGTGCTGTACCCTTATGCAAGCTGGGGAGAGGTCCAGGACAGGGGCCAGGGATAGCTTAAGGATTGGCCTTAGCTATAGAGTAGAGTTGGGGTGTAGTACAGAGTTGAGGGTAACACTAAATTGATATTCTGACTGGAGTGCTACAAAGTAAGTACAGGGGTTAAATACATGAGGCTGGTCTGGGATAATGAACATGAAGCCAGGCTTGTGAATAAGCTATTAGCCAGATGATTAGCAAGAGCATGGACAGCCATTGGGGCTGTGCCAAGGCTAATAGTCAAAGTCTGGGTGACTGGCATAACTAGGGTCAGACACAGGATTTGTACAGTAAGCAGAGTCAGACAAAAGGAGACTAGACTAAATATAGTACAAACAAAGGAAAATAGACCAGAGTTATGTCTGGGTGACCTGGACATGGACCTGGGAGGACCAGGGTGGAGCAGCACAAGGCTGGGAGGCTGGAATGGACCGGAGATAGGGGCTAGGGGTCTGGACTGGACCAGGATTGAGTCCAAGAGTCATGGATATGACACAGAGGCAAAGCAGACAGAGAAATCTACTACTCGGGAAATGGCAGTATTACTAGTACCATCAAACAGTTGGAGAGGAATAGGTGGAGAGACATTTTTTGTTGGGATTTTATATTTTTTAACTAAGGTAGGGTCAACAAAGCAGTGTGAAGAGCCTGAGTTGACCAGAGTGGGGAAAGTATCTACAGAGAAATCAGAAGAGAAATGATCAGAAGAAGAGAATTAGGGTTGGAAAGAGCAGATGTGTTGAGGTGGACTTCTGCACAGATGGGATCAACACTTCCTCCAGGACATACAGGTTCCCTGGAGGAGCAGATTAATTTTTTGGCTCTGACCTCTCCACAGGCAGAGCAGTCAGAGTGGTGGCCTTAGTGGCATGGTCCTTGGCAGCACAGGAAGTTGACTTTGGGCAATCCTTGGTGGAGTGGCCAGGTTCACCACAGAAGAGGCACAGCCCACCAGTAAGGTGGTGGAGCTGCTCAGCTGCTGTGAGCTTGCCATCTTTTCCAAGGAGATGGTCGATGTCAGACTTTGGCACTTTGGCCTTTTTAGAGTCAGACTTAGGGGTGGAGGATGATGCAGAGGGTTTTGGCTTGGAGTCAGAGGTGCAGAGTGGAGTTCTTTCAGCAGGAGGAGGCTTGGCAGAGTGGGAGACTTCTGACTTGTGCTCCCAGTAGCATGCATCTACTGTCTGGCCCAACTCACAGAGTGCATGAAGAGTGGCAGGCTTGCCAACACAGGTCACTTCATCCTTTATGTGGTCAGGGAGACCCAAGTAGAAGCAGTGGTGGAGTGCACCTTTGCCATAGTCTTTTACTTGAGAAGCCCAGCAGTTGAACTCCACTAAGTACTTTGCAATATGCAAAGAGTCCTTTATGGTAAGGTTTTCCAGATGCTGGATGGCATTGGCAGCAGCATCATGAGGAGGGCTGAAGTTGGTAGTGAGCTCATGGAGGAACTCATGGTGGTCATCCATCCACAGCAGATGATTAAGGTAATCATCCAGATTGAGGAGGTCTGGTTCAAACCAGGCCAATGCCATGCCCTTAAGGTAGGACTGCACATATGTGACCTTGGCTCAGTTGGAGTGGAATGCCCAAGGGTGGTCCTGGGAATTGAGCTCACATTGGACCAAGAACTCATGGAGTTTTTTAGGGTCAGACCCATCAAAGGTATCCAGCTTGCAGACTTTGGTTCATGGAGTGGAGTCTCTGGAGCACTGGTTGGAGCAGTCTAGGGCATGGATTGCCCAGGTCAAAGCAAGGACTGGCTCATCAAGGGGATCTGCAAGGTTGTTGGGATCATCCTCATCATCAGGCCCATCACCAGGATGGTAGTCAGGATCATTGGGGTCATCATCAGGGTTGCCTCATCCATCTCTGCCAGGGTGAATGACAACAGGAGGTGGCAGAGAGCAGAGGGAAGAGGGCAGCCTGCTGATGGATGGAGGGTGCAGCACATGAGGCACTGTCTGGAGCAGGGTGTCATAACTGTGCCTTGACCCCAGCCAGACTTGGCCTTGCCAATCACTTACCCCCAGTTAGTCTAGCATGGTTAACACTGCTTTGCAGTGCATGTCACTTTGGTTGAACTCTGCCTGGTCTTGTCCCCAGTCCACCCTGTCCCAGTCTCCATCACCTTAGTCATACATTACTAATACTATTCTTACCAATCATCTTAGCAATCCTTGCAAGACCAGCATTACCAGTCTCTGTACTATAGTCTGTCTCTAGTATATAAACCCATAGATACTTGGCTTGTACTCCTCAGTCTGAAATCAACTAAGTTTACTCTGATAACCCTGCCTCAGCCTTGGACTCAGACTGAAACCCATGCAAGGGACTAGTGCTGCATCCTCAGTTGCTAAGTCCAAACAGTCCACCCTCTGTATCTTTGCCTTTCCCCCTGATCCTGACCCCTTGGCCTCATGCCCACTTCAGTCTCCAGTCTGGCCTCAAACCCAGACTTCACAAACTTGACACAGGGTCAGAGTTGGAGTGCCCCCTGGAGGAGAAGCTCTGGAAGGGCTCAACAACTGAAGGGAGATGTCAGGGGTCTGGCAAGGCTGTAGCAAGGGCCTTGGTAGCATCCCATTGTCAGTGACATGTCATGGGAGGCATAGCAGATGTGGTAGGGGAAGTGAGAGAGCTTGCACAAGTGAGAGTATGAATATACTGTCAAGGTCACACAACACCCCTGACTTCCTCTTAGGGCAGAGTAGGAGCAGGTTGGGCTGCAGAGTACAGTGGTCAAAGTCTGAAGTGAATCCAACCACTGGGTGGTAAGATATGCAACAAACAGTGAGTGGAGGGGTACAGAGGAAAGTTTCAGAGGCAGAGGTCAGAGTCAGAGGTTGGAGGTTGGATGAGAGGGCATTGGGTTCAGCTAGTGTGCTGCCCCCTGGCACAAGCTCAGCCCTCATATTTTAGAGGTAGAGCAGACTCAGAGGGAGTTGGAAGTGGGGACTTTATTCAATATTTGTACTGATTACATCAGAGTACTACATGGCCTTATATATGATGTAGGTCAAGGGCAGTGCAGTGTAGAATGCAAACCAATAAGTGTATAACAGGTAGCAGTCCCCCCAACACAAGGGATAGAGGATAGGGATGATGGGGACCTTAACAGAGACAAGGAAACTACTACAATGAGGGAAAGTGGGTAAATACCAAAGGAGTGGAAGAATGGAGAAAAACTGACATGAGGGCAGAACCCTATCTGGAATGCAGGGCTGCAAGTCTGACAGCCCACTGAGCTGACCAAAGCCTCAGAGGAGGCACAGATGAAGGTCTGGCCTCCACATGACCAGCCTGAGGGTGGAGTTGAGTGGAGTTGGTTGGAACATGGACAGGGGACCTTGGAGAGGTGTGGAGATGTGTCAGGAGGGTCAGAGGAGCATGGGAATGCATCAGAAGAGAGCAGAGAAGCACAGGAACATGTCAGAAGAGGGCAGAGTAGGTGTTAGGGGCTTATTCTGATGTCATGGTCATGACATTGAGCACCCAATGATGAAAGTGCTAGAAAGGCCTGCAATAAGATCCATAGAAAAGTGTAAGTACATCATTTAGCAGTATATATGCAGTATTCATACATATGATCACAGCAACCCTGAGAAATGCAACTGATACAAGTGCATATATGACTACCTGAAGGAGCATGTGCCATACTTCATAGATCTCATTAAGAAGAAGAGTGGCGAAACTGCACTTCTCATGTGGGAGGTAAGCCAATGGTGACACAAGTCTAGTGCATCATGTGGCTAACAAGTGACTTTCTTTCAGATGCAACAAGTGATCAGCCAGACATGATCTGATAACACCAGTCATCTTAAGCCTATGATTGCAGCTTATGCAGCTCCCCATCCAGACAAGAAACTTGTCAATGCACCTGTCAATGTGAAGAGTTCAAAAGACAGGCTTGGATTCGACCACGCAGAGCTCACTTGGCTCCTCTGTGAGGAGCCTGCAGGCTTTGCTAGTAGATGCAACTGTGTATGTACTATTGCACTTGACATTATCAATCAGCTGATTTACTGTTCCATAAGGTGAGGAAGCAGCATCAGAATGGTAGCATCCTTGTTAACACCCAAAGGTGGCTGGCATTTCTTTACTCAGGTGTCCTTCCCAAATACCCCACAGCCCCTGGCTTCAGAACATCACACAAATGGCTGCAGGGCATCACCAGGAAGCCCCCCATCTCCAGTCCATCACCCAAAAATACAGGTTCTTCATTCAGTCAACTGTCCTCCTTTTGCTCACAAAAATCTGCTCCCTCATCTCCAGTCCAGTCACCTGAAAATGCAGGTTCCTCATTTAGTCAGCTGTCCTTCATGCACTCACCACAGCCTTCTACTTCAGAACCAGAACCCTGTGCCCAAAGGCAATCATGAGCAAATCTGGATCCTTCACCTACTTTGCAGGTGAACAATATCACTGATTGGATGCCACAACTCAAATGCAAGCACAGCATGATGTTTTCCACTGGTGAACAGAGTAGTCCATTAACAGACTGTGATTCACAGCAGGGTAGGAAGGCCACCACAAGTAGGCCTTCTAAGATGACAAAGGAGGGACATGGCAAACACTCCAATAAGAGTAAGGATAAGAGTAAGGTGCCAACCAAGGAAACAATAACAAAGAGATCAAGCTTGTGGGCTTCCAAGAAAAAGTAACTTGTGCATGCCTCATCTCACTAAGTTCTGTCATTGGGTGGTTACTTATTTGAGGCAGCTGCCATCATGTGTTCTATATATCCACTTGTTGCTGTCTTGTTCTGCTCTCTCACTCATGCACTTCCTGGCTGTTTTGCTCTCCAAGTCCCACACCTGCTCTGTATAGTATTCTGTGGATTTCTCTAGATGGAACCATCAAACACCAACTAGTGATGCATACCTGCAAATAGCTACAGGTATTGCTATCATGTGTGGTGTGATTGTGTTGTAATGTGATGATCATGATATATGTGGTTGTTGTCTGCTATATCATGGAGAGTGAACAGTGACAATGAGCATGTCAATGAAACTGACATTGAAACTCTATTTAACATCAGCATCAACAGGCATTTCTCTGTAAAAGAGCATTTTTGTAGATTTTACTACATGACTGCTCTTTATCTACAGTGTCATTGGTGTCACCTTGAATATATTTGTATATATTTGAATCTCATTGTTCTGCAATTTTGGTGATGTACTACCCCTGCTGGCAGGTGACCATTGCCAAGTGCACCAGTTCAAAGTTCACAAATGAAAGGACAACATTAGGACAGCAGGCTATGTTGTTCAGGTACTGAGAAGAAGGGGAAGTATGAAATGCCACTAACCTTTACATCTGAGCATACCATGGTCAGTGTGAGCATTAGGGATCTCCAGCAATTGCCAATGCAGATCACACCAGCTTGCCTGTCCATATTGGTCATAAACATAAAACCCTGTATCATTCAAAAGGCCATGTCTGAAACTTTGATTTCATAGCCTTTTTTAACATGCTCATCATGATCACTTCTGAGGCCATCATGGTTGTGTTTGTATCATCTCATTCTTGGTACCCTCCTGCAGGGAAATACCTCCCTGTAGTGCCCACTCTCCTCCTATACACCAGCACAGCCATCCAATGCATCCTTGATTCAGGTGGATTCCTGCAGAACTGTCAGTAAGTGCACACCCACTGAGCCTGTGTTGACAGGTATGCTGACACCATCTTGTATCCAGTAAATAACATGGCCAAACCTCAAAATGCTTATTGGCAGCCAGCAACTGATTGTCATCTCTTCCCCCAACAGTATCAATGCAATCTTGCAGGGACAACACAGTGTTTTCAAAGGTGATTCCATGCAGATCAAGCTGATTAAGGAGATCTCTGGACTGCAGGAGAATGTCCTACCTTTGCAAGAGATCCTACAGCATCAGATAGCCCCATAGTTGGATGTACCTTGGCCAAAGTTTCAATATGTAAGTTTGCAATGATATATGTGCAGCAGCTGTTCCAGGAGATTAGCATGTTTGTCACACATTCCAAGAAGGAGGCAAAGGCAGTGTCATTAATGGAGGTTGTGAGCAGATGTCAGCTTGCAGCATTGTGCCATGCACCTCAGGCCCATCATTCACCAATGATGTTTACAATGACATAATCTGTTTGGACAAGAGGGTTTATGCAGGACTGCATAGAGTCCCTTCCTATTGGTGGCAGCAGATGTCAGAGCATTGGGGGATCTTGTCAAAGTCACACAACACCCCTGACTTCCTCTTATGGTGGAGTAGGAGTGGGTTGGGCTGTGGAATACAGGGTCAAAGTCTGAAGGAAACAAGGAGCAGAGGAGTTTGGAGGGAAGTTTTGGGGACAGAGGTCAGAGTCAGAGGTCAGAGGTCAGATGGGAGGGCATTGGGTTCAGCTAGTGTGCTGCCCCCTTGCACAAGCTCAGCCCTCATATTTCAGAGGCAGAGCAGACTCAGAGGAGTGGAGATGAAACTCCAGAGGGCACTCAGAGGGAGTTGGAAGTAGGGACTTTATTGTTGATATTTGTACTGATTACATCAGATTACTATGCAGCCTTATATAGAGTGTAGGTCAAGGGCAGGGCAGTGTAGAATGCAAGCCAATAAACATGTGACAGGTTGGCAGTACCTCTGACACAAGGGATAGAGGATGGGGACAACAGGGACCTCAACTGAGACAAGGGAACTACTACAATGAGGGGAAAAAGGGTAAATACCAATGGAGTGGAAGAATGGAGAAAAGCCAACACAAGGGTGGGACCCTAACTGGAATGCAGGGTGGCAAGTCCAACATCCTGCTGAGCTAACCAAGGTCTTGGAGGAGGCACAGATGAAGGTCTGGCCCCCACATGACTGGCTTGCAAGTGGAGGTGGCAGAGTTGGTTGGAATATGGACAGGGAACCTCAGAGAGGTGTGGAGATGTGGCAGGAGGGTTGGAGGAGCACAGGAATGGACTGGAAGATGGCAGAAGAGGACAGAGTAGATGTTAGGGACTTATGCCAATGTCATGGTCATGACAGATCTAATGGAGGGTATGGTCAAACATCTTCAGGGAAACCAAGCTCTGGCTGGAAGAAAAGGCCAGGCTGTTGCTTGTCTTCCTCTGGAGATCATACATGAGTCCAACCAACATGACCTTTTGGGTACTGACAGAAATTCTCATGAGAGAAGCTCACCAGCAACTGCATGCAGAGATTGACGGCATGCTGCACACTGTCACACACCAAAGGTGTTTGGTGACATGGACATGGATACTGCTGATGAATGGAGATGAAGACTATAGCCCTCATGCATAGAATGACAGCCAGGAACATTGGCAGTCATCCTTCACACAAGAATGAGTTGTCAATGCCAAAGAGAAAAGAAGGAAGTGAGTTAAGCACCCATGTACAGCATTCCAGTTTTTGACATATCTCCACCATTTCTGCAGATACTGACACCATTCTTACACTCACTTATAGTGCTCAGCCATGCGATCCTACCTTCCAAGTTTGGGAAGGATCTACACACTCCACACATTTCTACAGCACTCACTCCAAAAGCTGCTCATTCTGCTAATTTTTCTGATATGGCCACCTCCACATCAATCATTTCACTTTTCCCCTTTGCTAGGGACCATGGCTACATATATCTACCAGGAATTCCTACTAGCTTCCATCCAGAAGTGTCCTGGTACATCCCATCCTCATCTGCACCCTCTCAGCCCATCCAGCTTGGACAGCAAGTTCTTTTTGTCAGTGTGACCTCCAGGAGGACATTCTTTGGTTGCCTCAGGTCTGTCATTTGGTTAGAAAGATCTTATGTGGTTGTGTCAGTCTTTCCAGTCCAAGCAGCATATGGATCCTTCCTCCCTGCTCCCTGCAACATCTTCATACCAATCTCATCCATCATTCTTTCAAAATTGAGACAGCTACAGCATAATCTGCTGTTCTCTACTCTCCCTGATTGTGTCCATCATGAGTATGATGCACATCTTTCTTCCTTGTTGCAAGATACAGCAAAAGACACTCCCCCTTCATCCTCTCTTCCAACAGAGCCTCATTCATGAAGTGTTTATTTTCTTCACTGAGAGGACAGTTAGGGGGAAAGTTGCAATCCCCTATGCTCCTGTCACCCCACAGACACCCAAATATTGACCCCTTCTGACACCTGACACCCACCATCCCCTATTGGATGTCCTATATTGGCATCAGATCAGCACTGCCTCTCTGTCATCCCACCTTGGCCTAGAAGCAATCTCTTTGAGATGTGACATGCACAGTTCCCCCTAATACAATTCCAATGTGCTTGCTCAGTTTTTGACAATGCTTGACCCATACTTTGAAATTCTGACTGTCCTTGACTCACCTATTGCCAATACTTGCCAATCTTTTGACTGTGCTTACTGTTTCTTCACTTTTTGGCTTACTTATCCTTACCAATGCTCACCAATGCTTTCCAAGTTGATTGCCCACTGCTTCCATTCCTTACTTATCACTTACCAATCACTTACCAACTGCTTGTGCCTTGTTTTCCATAGGCAATGCCCCTGTACTGTGAATCACTGTTAGGAAGAAGACATCAGAGAGCCCCTCTTGCTTGCAATTCATCATCCCTCAGTAATTCATTCATCACCTTCAATAGTTGAGACTTTATTAATGGTCTAACCATCATCTACTTTACTTATCATCACCTATTATCAATATACTTCACTCCAAGTCCTTCCTGAGCTCAGTACAGCTCAGAACATTGAATTAAGTCATCATCCATCCTTCTGTAGGCTGACAGCAGTCTACCCCATTTCATTCTCTCACATTCCTGCTCCCTCTTTGTCAGGAGTACCCCAAACCCTCAGCACTCATCTTTGAGTCTTTTAACTTGCCAAAATCTGCCTGAATAAGACATTCTGCCATCCAGGTACTGCATAGGCACACCACCACCCACTATTTTTGTCTTTTGTGTTGGTTTTGGTTGTTTTTCACCACTGAACCTCACTTTGACTCACAATGGTCTGTACTTTCATGAAGACAATGTGTGAGTACTATGACACACATCAACTACCACAAGAGACAGCTGTCTGTGGCTGCCATACCATAGCAATGGCAGTAAAGACTGGTATATCCAGCTCAGCTGGGTCATCTTAACCCAAATGCAAATCCCTCAATCTGCAAACATATGAGTTCCATGCCCTAGGCAACTATCTGAACATGATCTGACAGCATGGTACAACAGATAACTATACAATACAACCAGTGGGACTGTTTTTGCACAATTGTAAAACACTTACAGATGAATTTCATAGGGTGAATTTGAACACAGGCAGTCGAAGCAGCAGTACCCATGAACTTCAAAGAACCATGCTACAACAATGGCATCCATGTGCACACACACAAGGCTCAAGAATGAGTTATTGACCAAATAAATTGGCATTAGTGAGCTGCACTGGATCCCACTCAGGCTCCACACTTGCAAACTATGCAGCAGGCATTCAAGCATTGCACATTGTGCACAGGTGTAGATGGGACATCTATGAGCAGGAATACAAGGCCATCCTAGAAGGCACCACAAGACTAGCCCCCACTTCATCCAAATGCCCCCACAGAGCCCCATTTACTACAGATACCCTCAAACTTCTACACAGAATGGTAGACAGAAACAACCCACATGATGCAGCAATTTATTCCTGTCTGGTGGTAACCTTCTACTGCATTGCCAGACTGGGAAAATTCACCATCTCATCCATCTGAGGTTTTTATCTGACAAAACACATATCCAGGGCAGATTATCATCTTGTCCACAACCAAGACAGTCTGCCTGTCAGGGTTTTTCACCTTCCAGCAACAAAATGCTTGATCAAAGGTGAAACAGTGTCACACACCAAAGGTGTTTGGTAAGGTGGACATGGATACTGCTGATGAATGGAGATGAAGACTATAGCCCTCATGCATAGAACAACTCCCAGGAATGTTGGCAGTCATCCTTCACACAAGAACAAGTCATCAGTGCCAAGGAGAAAAGAAGGAAGCAAGTTAAGTGCCAATAAAAATTCTTAAGCACCCATGTACAGCATTCCAGTTTTTCATGTATCTCCACCAACTCTGCAGATACCAACACTGTTCCCACACTTGCTTATAGTGCTCAGCTGCACAATCCTACCTTCCAAAATTGGAAAAGATCTGCACACTCCACACATTTCTACAGCACTCACTCCAAAAGACACTCATTGCACTAATTCTTCTGATATGGCCACCTCCACATCAATCATTTCATTTGTCCCCTTTGCTAGGGACCATGGCTACATATATATACCAGGAGTTCCTACCAGCTTCTGTCCTGAAGCATCCTGGTACATCCCATCCTCATCTGCCCACTCTCAGCCCATCCAGCTTGGACATCACATTCTTTTTGGCAGTATGACCTCTGGAAGGATGTTCTTTGGTTGCCTCAGGTCTGTCATTTGGTTAGAAAGGTCTTATGTGGTAGTTTCAGTCTCTCCAGTCCAAGAAGCACATGGATCCTTCCTCCCTGCTCCCTGCAATGTCTTCATACCAATCTCATCCATCATTCTTCCAAGATTGTGACAGCTACAATATAATCTACTGTTGTCCACTCTCCCTGATCACATCCATGATGAGTATGATGCACATCTTGCCTCCTTGGTGCAAGATACAGTGGAAGGCACTCCCCCTTCAGAGAGGACAGTTGGGGGGGGGGGGGGAAAGTTGCAATCCCCTATGCTCCTGTCACCCCAGACCCCCAAAGCTTGACCCCTGTTAATATCTGACTCACCCTGTCCCCTTTTGGATGTACTATATCAGCATCAGATCAGCACTGCTTCTCTGTCATCCCCCCTTGGCCTAGAAGCAATCTCTTTGAGATGTGACATGCACAGCCTCCCCCTAATGTGATTCAGTGTGCTTACCCAGTTTTTGACAATGCTTGACTCATACTTTGACATTCAGACTGTCCTTGACTCACCTATTGCCAATACTTACCAATCTTTTGACTTTTCTTACTGATTCTTCACCTTTTCACTTACTTATCCTGACCAATGCTCACCAATGCTTTCTAAGATGATCTTACATTCCTCACTTATCAGTTACCAATCACTTACCAAGTGTTTGCACCTTGTTTTCTACAGGAAATGCTCCTGTACTGTATATAAATCACTGTACTTAGATAGCTGGAAAAAAGGATGTCAGAGAGCCCCTCTTGCTCACATTTCATCATCACTCAGTAAATAATCCATCGGCTTTGATAGTTGAGACTTTATTAAGGGTCTAACTATCATCTACTTCACTTATCATCATCCATCATCAATCAGCTTCACTCCAAGTCCTCCCTGAACTCAGTGCAGCTCAGAGCATCAAATTAAGTTTTCATTCATCCTTCTGTAGGCTGACAGCAGTCTACCCAATCACAAACCTCTCCCATTCTTGCTCCCTCTTTGTCAGGAGCACTGCCAACCCTCAGCACTCATCTTTGAGTGTTGCAGCTCACAAAAACCCTCCCAAATAAAGGGTTCCACCATCTTGGTACTGCATAGGCACAACACCACTCACCTTTATTGTCTCTTGTGTTGGTTTTCACCACTGAACCACACTTTGACTCACAACAGTACAGTGGACCCCACAGGACAATCCCATCACAGATCCCTTCCACACTCTACAAAATCATTTCTGTCTTAACCCAGCTACCAATGATGCACACCTCTTCACTTGGTCACAACCCATCAAGGGCATCAGATTGCTCTCAAAATCTGAAGTGATGGGAAAGATAACAAAGGCAGCCAAATCCCACACAGGTTTTCCAAACCTCAAAGGCCACAGCCTTTGCATTGGCAGCACACTCTTCTATCTTCTGAATGAAGTCCCTTGAGACATTGTAACAACCATGGGTGGCTGGTTGGGATAATCCTTTACCATATGCCTCAGACACCAAGCACTGGCACTCACTCCTTTCCTACAATCCAAACCAGAAGTCCTCAACTCTCTCAAATGATACAGTGGCTCAAAAAACTGTCTGCATGTCTGTATGTTTTACATTAGTTATGACTAAACACAATAACCCCCAAACCTAGCCCTAAACCATGGGTGTATGAAATAAGATACTTGCTCTTGGCTTTCTATTGGTCCATGAATCAAGTCATTTGGATAGGAATTGATAGAATAGCAGCCATTTGAAAATCACATGTCATGTGGCCAGTTTTTTGACTTAAAGTTTTGATTATATATATTGACCCTGGCATGCTGTTATATTTTTACATACATCAACCAAGGGTTCTATTATGTTACCTTTATGTAATGAGTATGATCCAACATATATAAACCCCACCACCCTCTGCTCATTTTCTCATCATCACCATGAAGTCCATTTCCACCTCTCAAAGACAAAACATCATCTCTCTTGCCTCTCTTGGCCTGTCCACTAGGAAGATTGCCTCACAGACTGGTCTAGGGAAGTCTACAGTATCCCAGGCTCTTCAGGAAATCCAACACTTCAGTCAACCTCCCTCAGAGACCTATTAGGTCTGGAGATTTTGATATAAGTATTAACCTAAAAGGTGTCATTTTGTTGGGAATTCTCCACCACCATTCCTGGAGATTCTCCAGGGCAGCAATTTAATATGGGTGGAGAAAACATTTTCTCTGTAATATATATATATTATACATCAAATGAAAGGGTAGCTGGGGTCCACATTGGGTTTTCTTCAGGCTCAATAGACCCACTTTCCAGGTCAACCTGGGCTTTCCCCAGGCTAAATAGACCCCTTTCCATGGTGAACCTGGGTTTTCCCCAGGCTAAATAAACCCACCTTCCCAGGCCATGTCCTGGTGGTGATTCTACATGCATCAGGAAAACAGTGATTGTTCTAACTGTTCTAATCACAACTTATCTCAGAAAGGTAGAGGTATGTACATGCATACCACATGGAAGAGGCCATACAACTCAAGCTTAGCCTGGGAGTAGTGGCTTTCCACTTCATTGAGGGTAATGAATCCAAAGCAACTAGGCTATTGTTTGCCATCTTTGCTAAGCTGGTAGAGGATGTGGCCAACTGCAATGACCAAGGTGTCAACTGCTAAAATGACCTTGTGACCACACTCATTGTCAATCCACTGGAGTGCAGGGGACTTTAAAATTTCATCCTTGAGGCATTGCATGGCAGCATGTTGTGGTTTGTCCCATGTGAATGGCACATCTTTCCATGTGAGTGTGACTAGCAGCTATGCAATCTTGGCAAAGTCAGACACTGTGGAAACTGTGAACCTGGGTCAGGTTGCAGCACTCAGGCCAGTTGCAGATCTTTTGCACTTTACTTTCCTCTTGAATGTGACCTTCAAAGGTGCACTTGTGGCCAACAATCACAGTGGAGGGAGCAGCTAGGATGAACTTCTTTTCCAAGATGGTGGCTCTGACATTCTGCAAATGCTGAAGAATGTGGTTAACAACTATACAGTGATTCCAGATAAACTTCTGGATCCCAGGTTCTCTGGGATAGTCTCATAGGAACCATCTGCATGCTGATAGTGGGTGGTCTCAGCATTTCACAGGAACATCATCAATGAAGGGCAATGTATGATGTGGGATTTTGTCTTGGAGCACAAATGCAGTATCTCCTTGGTATACCTGTACTGTGTTTGCATGGCCTTGTGGCAGGGTAGTAAGCCAATGCAGTCCAAGTGGGGTACTGAAGGTGGTGAGGTTACAGGAGTCAATGTGAAGCACATGCTGGTTGTACCCAGTGTAGACATCCATCATTGCATATACCACATGGCTGGCAAAGGACTCTGCAAGATGTTCTACAAGGGGCAGGATGGACATGTTGCAGATGGTCACTGCATTCAGGGGCCGTAAGTCACACATGAGGTGAAGAGACCTTCCATCATTCTTTACTATGCAGAACCAGTGAGAGTGGTAAGCCTCTGTAGAAGGCTCATACATCCCAGACTTGATGCAATCCTTAATCATGTCAATGACCTGGGCATGAATTGTGCTTGGAATAGGGATATTGCATTGGACCCAGGGTGTGTGCAGGATCATGGGGATCTTTACAGGTGGGAAGTAGCATTTGTCTAGGTGTCCATGCACCATGATTGATTTCCCAAGCAAATGTGGGCTTGTGGACCAAAACAAGCCAAGTTACAAGTTTGCATTCTTCTGGCCAAAGCCAGTCTGCTGGGTCAAGATCAAGCTCTGTGGCCCATTCAGCAGTGAAATGGGTGCCTGGTGAAGTCTGGCAGATGTGTGGGAAGTGGTTGCAGGCCAGCAAGCAGATCATCAGGCAGGCTGTGCATGATGTGGTGTTCTTCTGCCATCAGGGCAGGTACCATCCAAACCTTCTTGGCAACTGGCTTGTATATGAGAGAGTGAACTGTGGGGTCTAGTTGGTAAATGCTATTGAAAGTGGGTATAGCAGAGGGGTTTACTATCATCTGAGTGGAAGAGAGGAAAGCAAAAGTAGGAGAGGGTATTCCAGTGGGTATGTTCCATGGCACAGATGCTGTGGGAGAACAGAAGTTCATTGAGGTGAAGGCTAGGAAAGACAATGTGGGACTGAGGAACAGATAACAGCAGCTGAATAGGAAACAGGACATCTTAGTAGGCTCTCCCTCACCATTTGGTGGATCATCAATATTCAAAAACCCCATTTGACAATGCTCTGGTGACTGTTGCAGTGCTTGCCACACTTACAGTGTGGGCAGCCCTTGCACCATGGGTGCATGGGCAGAGCGTACTCACATCC